TTTTTTTTTTTTTTTTTTTTTTTTTTTATCCTTCATGTTGCTGTAACGTGTTTAAAGTATAAGCATAGCTGCACGCACTGGGGAAGATACAGATTCGACTGATACTTTGAAAATTCAGCTTGGCAACGAGATTTTAGGAGTTTTAGAGTGTTTTGTTTACTCAATTATATATAACGTTTCAATCCAGCCAAAACTTTGAGTTTCTATCAGCATATGTGAAAAATCTTCAGTCACGACGTGTTCTACCTCGTAAGTCGGTTGGTGGAGAGAATGGTGCAAAATAAAGTAAGGGAAAAACAAACAAGTTTAAAGTAAAATAAAATTACGGCCCGTAATTGGGATCTGATCCAGGGGCCTCCCGCCTGCGAGGCGAGTGCGCTATCATTTGGCCATGCGGTGCTGATAAGGATAGAGAGCCTCTGTCACTTATGTTTACCTTGTGCCGCTAGGGCACGCGGTTTTTCCGCATCTTTTGCCTTATTTTTGAGGACTTTCCCGACCCCATTCGAAAAAACGGAAAAATGCGGCATCCCTAAAATCATCTCTTGTATCTTCATGTGAAATTTCAACTCGAAATTCCGGTTACACTTGGGAAGCTCCCCTTGTTAGCATTTTTTCCCGTTATTTGTTTGGCGGTGGAGTTACCAACAAACTTCAGCCCTCAGAAATGTAGAAAAAAACTAAAAAAATGTAAGTGCTAAAATTCAAGAAATAGCCTGCCCCAAACTTTGACAGACCCAGATAATTGGAAGAACCAGCTGCACCTTTGCAGGAAAGTTGAATAATAATAGATGATGTAACGGACCTACTTCCAAAGACCACTGGACTATTTGAGGAATTCTCCTTTCATTACCTGGACCCTAGGAGTTATCCAAAGCCTCCGACACTTCTCAAGGAGCCATTCTTCGACAAAATTATAGCTGAAACCAATGGTATACTATGAGTCACCATTGAAAATGAAAAATTACCCAATGACTTGAGCACACTGTTGTTTAGAGGAGTTGATGCTGTTTTTTACCTCAATTATAAGAAATTTAGGAAGTCACAAGGAACCACAGTCCTTGAGAAAGAAAGAGAAACGCAGATCTTGGCTTTATCATGGACTCAAAATCAAGATACGAAGATCATATTCTCACTTTAAAACAACTTATCAAATCAAAATGCAAGAAAATGCAATGATTCATAAGAAAACATTCTGAACTAAGTCTGAATAATAAAAGACTTATTTATTAAGTCATGATTAAGCCAATCTAGGCCTATGCCTCAGATACCTACACTCCCTGCACTGCTAACTCAAACATACAGGAAACAAAACCCTTTTCAAATTTAATCTTTAAGGCTAAGTGCGAAAGAAAAGTGGTAAGAAGGAAATGCAGTTATTACAGTAAAACTCGGGATTGTGAGTCTTGAGGTTTTTGTCTCTCGTATGCACAGTAGTTACTAAGAACATCTGGCCTCCCACCTCAACCCAGAGGCCACCATATAATTAGGAGGTAAATTAATTTTCTGAAAATTTCTCTTCTCCCAAATTTTTATCCCCCTGCTCATCATTCATCAAAGGGCATCAATTGCCCAGTTATCCCATTTAAATTTCGGGAAAGTCCAAGATGAAGACCATTGTAATAAAGAAACAGGCCTCATTTTACAGATTGTTTGCTTTCCATTGTATGAAGTGCTTAAAGTTCACTATTTTCCTACTATGTACATATTTCACAACCTCAACATTGTTAACTTTATCTGTTCGATTATGGTTGCGTACTTGATTTTCAGAGTTTCCCCAGAGAAGCCTGGCACACCTATTGATGAATTATCGTGTTTTTCGACAACTGTAACTGCTCCATTAAGTCCTCAACCAAACCAGTTGTTTTCATCTGCCATGCCTTCCAAACCAGCCAATGCACCAAAAAAATTAGACTTCTCCTTTGGTCATAGTACTCTCTTGTCTACCTCCATGACCAGGCCTTTAGACACTAGCGGAGTCAGTTTGATTCCAGAAAAGTCTCCAGCCTCCTCAATACCTGCATTTTATCTACCGACATCTGAGCCTGCACCCATCATAGGTACCTCCTTTCAATTTTTATCTCCTTTTTGAGCTACAAGTACAAATTTTGCGCAGTAAATTTCATTCAGGCCCATCAGATTAAATATTATCTTGAACAAATACGAGGGTCGTCTCAAAAGTCAGTTTTCCGATTTTTTTTCTCTTCTACTAATAAAGCTAGAACAAATCTGTAGAAACGTTCTTGTAGGTCATACTCTCAGCTTTTCAACAAGTTAAAGTTTTTATAATTTGTCCTACTGGGTGCTGAGAAAATGCGGTTTTCCCAAACGAACCTTCGCGCTCCGCGGGTCCAAAGGAGGGGTATCAATACGGGCCTTTTTTGGCCCTCCCTAGAATCTGGAAATTTATGCGGGTTCTCCAAGTTGACTCAATGTAGTTTATGGAAATAATCATGATTTGGTCCATAGGCTACTGGATAGGTGTTAAACGGTGAACTGAACTTATGTCTGCAGGCACATTTCAGCGAAAAATGCTTGTTTTTCTATCACTCTGAGGTTTTTTTGATACTGAGCGCATCGTCTAACTAAAACGAGCTTTTAATATGTTATGAAGAAGGCTTTAAGACATATTGTAACCCTGATTTTGTTTTAGTTGGATGATGCACTCAAAGTTAAAAAAACTTTTTCAAAAGTCGACTTTAAAAGGACATCCGTAAAAATCTCAGGGAAACACGTCTCTCCAACTGTATGCACGCTACTTATATTATCAAGGGCAGTTAGCAAGCCTTGTTAAACGCTTACAAGGAGATTTTCTTTAATTGTAGTAAAAAAAACCCTAACGACGTAATTCCCTAAGATTTTTGCGGATGTCCCTTTAAAGTGGACTTTTGAAAAAGATTTTTTTGACTTTGAGCGAATCATCTAAGATCAAACCAGGGTTAAAATGCGTCCTGAGGCCTCCTTGATGACATATTAATTGCTCTTTTTCGTTAGACAATGCACTCGGTGTCAAAAAAAGCCTCAGAGTGATAGGCAAACACGCATTTTTGTTAAAATGCGCCTGCAGACGTATGTACAGTTAACCGTTTAACAGGTATCGAGTGGCCTATGGACCAAATCATGATTATTTCTGTAAACTTCATTGAGTCAACTTGGAAAATTCGCATAAATTTCCAGTTTCTAGGGGGGGGGGGCAAAAAAAGCCCTTATCGATACCCCTCCCTATAATATTTCGAAACTTGTCGTGATTCGCAGGATATAAGTTATTCTCGACGAATAACAGATGAATTGAGCAAATGTTCAATTATTATGCATAGTACTGAGGACCTAACCTTACTTTTCAACATAGTCTCTGCCGATATCTAAACATTTTTAATACCGAGGCATTACCTACCATATCCCTTCTGCAAAGAACTCAGGTGACTGCTTCAGGAGCCAAGAATTGTCTGCGTGCTTCACGTCTTCATCAATGGCAAAGCTCTGACCTTGGAAATCTTTTTTAAGATGAGGAAACAGAAAGTAATCTCTCAGTGCGAGATCAGGAGAGGAAGGTGGTCAAAGTGGATTTCGGAGGTCAGAGCTTTGCCACTAATGGAGAAGTGAAACACGCAGACAACTCTTGGCTCCTGAAGCATTCCCTTGAGTTCTTTGCAGAAAGGATAAGGAAGCCATCAAAAATGTTTGGATATCGGCAGAGACCATGTTGAAAAGTAAGGTAAAGTCCTCAGTATTGTGCTTAGTAATTGAACATTTACTCAATTCATCTGTTATTCGTTGAGAATAATTTCTATCACGCCAATCATGTCCAGTTTCAAAATGCTGTATTTTGGACCCGCAGAGCACGGAAGTTTGTTTGGAAAAACCACATTTTCTTAACACCCAGTGGGCCAAATTATGAAAACTTTAGCGTGTTATAAAGCTGAAAGTATGACCTACAATAATGTTTCCACAGATTTGTTTTAGCTCTGATAGTTGCAGGGAAAAAAGATAAGGAAACTTACCTTTGAGACAACCCTTGTAGGTCTGTTAGATAAGACCCTAAGCTGAAATAAAAGAAAGCAGTCCAGGAGAGAACAACTCTGAGTCAAATTCATGCCCTCTAATTTCGTTGTTGGCCTGAAGAAGTCAGTGTTAAGGAACCTAACTATTGCGAAGGTGTCTGACAGAAAGATCAAATCCATCAATTTAATTTCAATTAAAGAAGACTTGAGAATTCAGGGCATGGATTGTCCGAAAAATTATCAATAAATTAGGAGAAGTTTGATAAATATTTTTTTCTCAACTTCCATTACTGCTATTGGTCCGCAACTTCTACTTCTGTTAGTTTTTCTTTCTCACTGTAGTAAATTTTCTCTTTACACGTCATGAAGTAGGAATTTCTTTATCTCTCCTCTGCGCCCACACCCCCCCCCCCCCCCCNATCATGTAAAATTTGATATAAATAAACAATCATTACAACGCCCATTCCAAGTGGTCTGGTTGGGTCGCATATTAAACACGTTGACAATTCAAAAGCCTTGTAGTGAAAGTGCGAAAGTGAGCACATAGCACATGTGAGAGGCGTTCAATGAGCTTCTTGTGTTGTGTGTGGGGTGCTTGATTGTTCCTAGAATCGATGTGTTCTCCCAAAAATTCCATGAAATCGGGAGGCGGTGACCATGAAAAGCCATAAAAAAATCCAGGAAATCTGCTAGAAAGGGAAATTTTCGGAAATTTGGAAGGAGAGATTAAACCCTGCATTTTTTGAGTTTTGTTACGTTTTCCGTTCAGAGTTATGGGGCTGTATGCAGCAGTCGACAGGTTGTCACATAGAAGTTGCAAAAGTTAGTTTTTTTCAGTTTTTCCTGATCAAGAAGGTTCCCAGTGGGAAATTACGTACATTTGGGATGGTTGAAGCTTAACTTCCAAAGAGTTTTTGGAGAGGGTTGTGAAGTTTATGAAAATAGTGTAAGTTTTGTCCCTACATGGTGTGTAAATTGGATATAACTGAGATCTGTGCCTTTCAAGTTGTGTCCTTGTTTCACCTTAAAAACCCAGAAGTCTTTCTGATAAATCTCAGCCATGTGAGCTGTGCCCCCCCCCCTTTCTATATGCAAATCCTCACCCTCCCGCTCGTGTATCCCCTAACGTTTTTGAGGCACTGAAAACTTCTGGAACTAAGGTAGCTTTAACTATTGAATAAACAGGTCAAGCCCTAATAATTTATGGCACAGCTGAGTTTGGACTTATTTTTTATCTCTTTTATCCAGCCACTTGCGCTTTTCATTGAATTGAGGAGTTTTTTGGAGCAAGGGCGAATGCCCGAAAAAGCCGTGGAAATCGCATTTGATTTGATTTGTGTGGAAGAGCAAGTCTTAGAGAGTACAAATGCAAAAATGGAACATTGTGACTACATTTCCCTATAATTCCCACAGCATAACAGGGAATGTATGTGCCCTTGTTCCTGAGAACAAGTCTACGAGTTAAAAGTTTTACCTTTTGTAGAAAAAAGATTATGAATTAAAGAGGTAAATGGAAAAAGTAACTTTAATGCACAATTTAAAGTAAAAGGGACTACCCTTAAAGGTTATAAAAATTCACTCTGGAGAGTCATGAATTTTGCCTTAATTTTGGGCAAAGTTCAACAAACGCAATTCAACGTGATTAAAGTTAACCATTTCAATTTCAGTTTTTGAACATTACCCGAAACTGGGATCATAAAAAGGTAATGTTGAACTAATTTTGAACTGACTGAGATAATGTTGGGACAAAGTTACAGAGGATTGGCTCATTTCGCAGAGAATTGTATGATTTTTGAACTGACGATTTGGGGGTCCGAAATCCCCATTAAAATAAGTTTAAAATGATTCCTGTGTCTTTTACTTAAAAGTGCGTATAATTTAGTAAATTTTTCCCCTTTGATTTTCCTTCTTCGGTAATTTGAACTAGAGCTTAGATTTTTTGAAAATAGGTCAAATTTGACCTTTGACCATCATAACTTAGTCAGAAATCAAGATATTGATCTGCGGTTTCCGACAAAATTCTTAGTTTTTAGTGTTCTTTCTCATGAGGTATCCTAAGAAAGGGGTTACAATTTGAGGAAAATCGGGAGGGAGGCCCACCCCCTGAGGGAAGGGTCAAGAGGGGCTGAGCGGGAATTTTGGTCTACCCCCCACCCTATCCTTGGATATTTTCTGAAACTAGGAAGGGTCAAGTTTCAGAAAACGTGTTATCCCGAAAAAGGGCAGATGCGTGCGTACGCTCTTGTTTAAAGAACTTCTCATTTATTATGGCTTTATTTTTTTTTTTCCAGGGCACCTTGAACAGGATAATGCTGAGAATGCAATAGCACTCAAGTCAGTTGCTAATAATGCAATGTTCTCTGCAGCGGTTTTTGATGAAATAACTCGGTTTGAAGCAGAATTGAAAGATTTGAAACATTTGGCTACCAACCTTGATATTACTGTAAGTGCAATTTTTCAACCTTCCGTGCTCTGAATCATTCAATGAGTTTGCTCAGGAATAGGGTAGTTGCATGCAGCTGGGATTTTAAATTTGATGACTGTTTGCAGCATAACTTTTCGCGAAAAAACCGTTTCTCGCATTTGCAAGTTCCGAAATTGAGTCGAAAGCTTCATAAAAGCTTGATAAAAAGTTGTAAAATCGCAGTAAGAAATAAACGATTTCCATTGGCTGTGACGTCAGTTGGTATTTACAAGGCCTCGCCCACCGCCATCATCCCTATCTCGACCGTGTGTTCAGTGAGCCGAAGTATGATCTGTTGTGCTATATAAAGTGTCTAAATTATCTTTTTCCTCGAAAAATACTGTCGGAAATCATGCCAAAAGGTGTTCAGAACCGTATCTTGATCATAAACTGAAACACAGCTCTAGTTGAGATCAGAAAAGTGATAAGAACAAGTCTATGTTATGGTGTTGTTGCGATTTTTGGTCATCGGCGCCACCAGCGCCGAGAGAGCCCAACTCGAGCTCTGATTGGCCACAACGCACGAACACTGCCGAAGCAGTCCGGGCGCATCCGAATCCGACGGACCGCGCGGCTCTCGGCAGCGGCAGAAGATACGCGAAAAGCGTATCCCCCTTTAACTCCCTTTTTCACTAAGAAATCATGATGGAGAGCTTTCAAAATTGTTTTGATATTATTAATCAAATCCTAAAATTTTCATCGACGCAAAGAAATCAAGTCTCGACAAAAAAAAATTGATTTTTCGCGAATTTTTGAAAAGACCGTATTTACACGTATTTGACATACGGCGAACCAGCGACGCAGTGACGTCACGCAGTTCCAGTTTCGAAGCGCGGGAAAAGACTCGTTTCAAATGGCTTTTGACTTTGAGGAGCTTTCTCTCAAAGTTCCGGTGACCGGAAAATTATTTAAAAAAATACCTAAATACTCACTAGACCTCAAACTTTTCGAAATCGAATAAAAAAATTTCATGCAACTACCTCATTTAGGAGTCTTCGGACTTGGATACTTAGATTGAAGTTCTCACACCCTAGAAAATCGGCCTTGGTGCCTAAAAAATGAAGGCTCTGCGCCAACGTGGCCCCTAAAAATCTGAATTTTCACAGGAAGTCACATAAAGAAAGCAAAAGAAATCTATTTGAATTGAAAAAACTCAGAATTTTCAGCACTACAAGTGAAAGCTTGCTTTTTCTATACTTCACGATTTCATTCTTAGTGCTTTTGTCTTCCCCAAGTTACAGCTACTACTAGTTCTGTCTCGAAAACACCTTGCATCTAACTTTTCACCAAATGCGTCGCATTTTATAGGCAAAAAGTCAATTTGGCCCCTAAAAAATCCTCAATGGGGTCTAAAAATCGGGCTTGATGCGCCACATGGCTCCTAAAATTCTAAGGTGAGCTTCGAACACTGTAAGAAACACTGGTAAAACTTGGACTTCTTCTATTGTTGTGGGAGGGATTTTTTAAAATTTTCTGCTATGTGCCTTTCTTCTGAAAATGGAACGCTGGTCACAGGTTTTTGCCTTTAAAACTGGAATTTTAGGACGTACATGAGTTTCTAAACAGAAAGAAGTTAATTAATCTCTTCAGCACGATAAAAAATATAAGAAATCTTCTTTGGTGTCAAAATTATTCCCCATCCGTCCATCCGTTAGAGCCACGCGCTATCTCCACAATGTCGCGGCGCCTGAACCCAGAAGTAGATAGATGAGGAACATCGTGAGGCAGCAGTTTGAGGCGGACTTTGCTGCCATTATAGCTGTACTTAAACATATCTGGGCACAGAAAATTGGCTTACTCGCAATTTTCCTGAAAAAAAGGCACCTAGGCTGTGTGCCCTTGTTCCAGAAATAGCCTTTAAACCTGATTTGACCGCACAAAACTTGGTCCCTTGGCTTCACATTTGATTAATTACGCTGAAACTCGAGGCATACATACATTATGATACAAAGAATCCATTTCTGCAATTTCCAGAAAAAGGGCATACATGGGCATGAGCCTTTTTGCCAGAAAGCTCTTCAATTTCTTTTTCTTAAATTTTTCAAAGTAAAGAGTGAACAAAGCTCATTGAAATTTTCCCGGATTTTTCTAAATAATATCCATTTATAAAGAACATGTTCAACATTGCATATCTTGAGCTCCCATTTAAGTGCATATTGCTGTGAAAGTTAAAATGTTGTCTTAAAATATGTTCTGCTGAGGCACACTTTGGACTGCGCAACTCTTTTGCTGCAACTTACGACCTGTGCAGTCCTACATTAATTTTTTTTTGTTTTGAGGAGATAAAAAATCCGCTTACAGATACCAAACTTTGACTAGATTACGCCAACGTCACAACGGCTCCTCATACTTAACAAGAGGCAGTTCGGTTTGCTTATAGCAGAGATATAGATATATATATATTGTTTTCTGACCACTGCGGTAATAAATGTAAATTTACCATGCAAGCTACCAGTCATAAATTTTCGCTATTTCTGCATACGTTTCGGCGCTAACATGGAGGCCTTCTTCAGTGCTTCTTAAAATGCACATAGGTATTTACAAAATAAATATAGTCCCGACGTCAAAATCACACAAGCATTGTCCACAAGAGGTACAGTAAAAGATGTTAAAACTACTAAAACGACATTCTTTTAAAATAAAAACTACTACGCATATCGGAAATGGAAAAACAGCGAGCTAGCCACAACAGAATGCGACGACTGCGGCTGTCAATGACTGATCCCAGCGTAAGGAGAGTAAACAGACCAACGAATTTCGCCTGGTCATGATGGATAAATGGATGATAACGTTCCTTTGAAGGAATAATATTTAAAAGAAACGACATATAACCGTGAAGAGATGCTGGAGTATTTAAAAAGTAATGAATACAAACTAACAGACGAACCAAGGAATATTTATGACAAAATTATTAAAAATGTAAAAAAGGAAAAAAGAAAATGTATTTTTTGAATTCACCAGGAGGGACGGGGGAAACTTTCAAAAAAGAAATAATATTTTAGCAAAATTGAGGAGTGAAAGTCATATTGTATCAGCTGTGGCATCGTCAGGAATTGCAGCTACTTTAATGCCCGGAGGATAAACTGCTCATTCAACTTTCAAAATTCCATTAGATGTAAATGAAATAGAAAATCCAGTTTGTTCTACAACCAAAAAAAGTAACATGTACGAAGTCCTGAAAAAAACATCATTGATAGTATGGGATGAATGCACCATGATTAACAAAAATGCATAGAAGCTCTTAATCAATCACTGATGGACATTTTTCAAAGTAAAGAGTTAATGGGTAACAGAGCAATACTGTTTTCAGGTGACTTTCGCCAAACTTTGCCAATTATATTTGGAGGAAAAGGACCAGATGAAATTAATGCTTCCTTGAAAACTTCAATCCTTTGAAAAGATATGATATTTAAGTTAACAAAAAATATGAGAGGAAATATAAACCAAGCGAATGAAAATGACTCTAATTTCTCCGCAATATTGTTAAAAATAGGAAATGATGAGACAGATAAAAATGAAAAAGGTTTAATTGAAATTAACCCATCTATTTGCACCACTCTGGAATGAAAAGAAGAACTCATAGCAAAAATTTACCCGGGTATTGAAAAGCTTGAATATATTGAAAATAGTTGGCTATGTGGCAGAGCAAGTCTCACTCAAAAAAAACGAGCAAGCAACAGAAATTAACTCCAAAATAATTAATCTTACAAAATTAGAAGAAAAAAAATATTTTTCAATTAATGCAGGTCTGAACAATAATGACAAATTAAATTACCAACAGAATTCCTGAATAGTTTGGAAGGGCCAGGATTACCCCAGCATGAACTAAAATTAAAAGTTGGTGCACCAATAATTTTTCTAAGAAACCTAAACCCACCTAAATTGTGCAATGGTACAAGTCTTCGCCTAAAAAAATGTACAAAAACTTATTAGAAGCAGAAATTTTAACAGAAAATGGTGTCGGTGAAACAGTATATTTGCCAAAAATAGTGATCAGACCTACCAATTATCCTTTTCAGTTTAAAAGAATACAATTTTCAATGAAATTATGCTATGCAATGGCAATAAATAAAGCGCGAGGACAAACATTCAAGATAGCTGGTATTAATCTCACGTGTAAATGTTTTTTGCATGGTCAATTATATGTAGCATGCTCCCGTGTAAGTTCTCCAAAAAACTTATTTATTGTTTGCCCTAATGGGGGGGACAGAAAACATAGTATACAAAGAAGTATTAATTTGAATAAATATTTTCCATCCCTCCATTAGAGCAAATAAAAAACCCTCTGTATACCCTCTTTATGTATTTGAAATAACAACGGACAAGTTTTCATCATCTTAGAGTGTTTTGAATGATTTTTGGAAATTTAACAAAGAAGGGAGGGTTCTCTAAATAAATTTTCCAACTTAGGCATCTATAGTAGTAAATAGAATTGGATAAATGATTTTGAAAATATGGCCTATTAACTATCAATTTTGTTTTGGAATATTCTGTAATATCAAAAATAAAATTAATACCATGAATTATTATTATTATTATTTTCCCTTCATTGGCTTATATTGAATTGTGGCAAAACGATTTATATTCACCTGTCCGTGCGAAGCACGGGTTAGGCTGCTAGTTACCTATAAAAACCAAGAAAAGACACTTGATATGTTTTAGTCTTATTTTGTCAAAAGAATGTAGCTTTTGCAAAATTGCGACTTGCAAATTTTAGGCCATTGGGTATAAGCGCGCGCAAACTGAACTTCAATGCAAGGTTGCATCGAAGAAATCACGGATAGACCTAGAACGTGTATGGTGCATTGTGCTTGACGATAACTCATTGATTTGTAGAGTACAGCCATTAAAACACCACAAATATATAAATCGGCCACTATTGTCCTTAGTCCAAGGTAAAGTGATATATTGTCTACGATAAGAAATGCTCATTCATCCCAATAAAATTGTTTTGCCTTTTTTAAATTTTATCTTGTTGCTCACAAATTTGCACCATTAACTGTGTTTTTTTTTTGTAAATTGGTATTTGTGAAGTTCAAGTAGCTTTTCTTCATTTTATAATATCTTTCTTTCTACCTCTTGCATTACTAGTGCGTACTAAAACTTGGCCAAATGTGTTAGTTAAAATATGGATTTATATTGAGAATTAGTCTTGACCGCAAAGAGTAGAGGAACTTGACCATTTTTTCATAGTAGGGGCCGGAAACATATGATAGAGAAACCTAGCAGGTGAAAAGAGTGTAAAAGGAGATTCAAATCCTAATACCAATTGAGTTTTATATCTCAGGATTGTGTCTTTGCTCAAGACCAATTTTTTGTTTATTGCTGAGAACGTGGGCAATAAGAAAACACGGTCACCTTTCGAAATCTGGATTTTCAGGTGAAGAAGTGTCATTAATAAATCTGAAATTCAGATAGACAAACATTGAGTTGACGTCGTATTAGACACATTGACTGGTAGGCGCGACTCCGTGGACCCGCAAGAATGATTGGTGGAAGGTTAATTTGGAGTTAGACATATCTTTCGTTAATCACATTATCTTAAGGCGCAAAGTTCTCCGCCCATCGACCCAACTAGGGAATAATTGCTGCGATTGGCAGTTTCACGCAGTTTGTTTACATTTCCACATTGTTTTATCTTCATTGATAGTTTTGGGCAATAATTATAGTCCCTGTAAAGCCGAAAAAAGTCGCGAGTTTTCGCCAATGCACTCTAAGTACGTCTGGCTCTGACCTAACCTTACAACGACCTCCATTTTCCAAATGATATGCAATAAAATATTATTTTTTTGTTTACAGGTAGGCTTAGAGGATGATAAAAACGAGTTGAAGAAAAATGTAGATGGTCTTGAGAGTTTTCATAAGGAGCTTACAGAAACAACAAACTCGCTGAACTCTGAAGTAGACTCCTTGAAAACAGTTCTCATGGAGGCATTTTCGTGGATTGAAGAGGCCAAAGCACGGAAAATGCAACTGTATCATCCAGGGTAAGGAGGCATAATAAATCATGGTTCAATCTTTGAAACTGTTCAGTATTCCGTGATTATGATTCTAAGTAACTGATGAAGCACTGTCTCTAGAAGGACGTCCCTAGTGATTTTCTAGGGGTATGATGATTTATACTGATGCAAGGCTGAGTGTACACAGGAACAAAAAATGAATGAAACAAATTATATAATGAATGAACGGGACAGGAACTAAAGATGAAGAAAAAACTGAAAGAATTCTTGACAAACTCTAATACAATGAGGATATGCAGTGCATGGTCATTACGAGTGAGTCAAATTCTGGACTTGAATACTAGAAAATTGTAGTAAATACATTAGGGTCCCACTTACATCTATATTATGGGGGAAATGGTCCAGAGCTGTAATTTTAACAGAAAATTGGCGGTAAAGACCCTCAAAATATGTATCGTAATATTACAAGGAAAGTCAGGCTTTTGTCACATGGATCGCCGCAGGTGACCTCACACATGCAATTTTACCATCTAATCTCGCATCAGGTTAAGAATGACACGAAAATAACGTTGAGCATGTATAGAAAGTCTAAAATCCACTTCTTTTGTTACTATGAAAGTTGACTGAAGACGGTTCCAAATGAAGTGTATTACGGTAGTTTACTCCTGTATGTAGGAAACGAGCGAAACTTGAAGGGTGTTCAGTGAGTAAAAGAATGAGTTTCAGTATCTGCCAAGGTGCTGTCATCTTTGAGCCATTATACAGTGGACTCTCGATAATTCGAACCTTGATAATTCAAAATCCTCGTTATTTCGAAGGAAAGTCCGTTTCCCTTGAAAATCTCTCGATAATTCGAAGAAAATCAATGTATTTTTCTTGCGTCATTAATTCGAAATTTTTAAGCTGGCACGGCTCTCTATCATTTGAAATCGCGACGAAAATTCTTTCTGTAATTCGAAGTGTGAGAAGTAGATATGACCCTCCCTCTATAATTCGAAATCAACTGTATATGTACTTGGGTGTCTGAAAGAGCTTGACTTTTTTCCTACAGACCTTTTGGCGTACCCAAATCCGTCCATTTTCCCCTCTATAATTCGAATTCAGGTAGCGCCTTCCCTCTATCATTCGAACCTCTAATTCGAAATTTCTCCATATGGAATCTCTTTAATTCGAACTGTCTTTATTTCGAAACCTCGCTAATTCGAAGAAAAAGCCGATTCCCTTCAATTTCGAATTATCGAGAGTCCACTGTACAGGGTGTCTCAGACCACCTGTACCAGACCTTTTTTCTCCGACCGCAGGGTTGAACAAGGAATTGACCCCATGAAGTCCGAATTTCATGGTCCTGAAACGTTTTTTCCGTTTTTGCTCGTTCATTGTTCTTTTAGTAGAATCCTTTGGTAGTTAGAGCTTACAATTTAAAATGAAACAATCAGCTTTAGGGTTCCAAGTTATTGTTGGGGACTCACGTAGCTAGCAGAGCAAAAGAAAGGAGAAAAAATAGGACAGAGGAAGGAAGAGTAGAGCAGAGCGATCTGGTATTCTTGGAACGACGAGCTCCGGACTATCATACATAGCGCATAGATGGAACGTAGTAAGTAGAAGAGAACAGAAAGGCAGAAAAGCACTGAAAGGAAAGCATATCAGCGAATATTTCTAAGAAGCATATTTTTAAATAGTTTGAGAAGTTGCAGCATTGATGCATTATATAAAATGTGCGGTAGGCTCGGCGAGCCTGTCACCTCGACCATGCCTTTTGCAAGAGATTCATGAAAAGAAAGAAGGAGCGAGAGAGAGAGAGATGAAGTAGCTATCATTGTAGGGACTTAGCGTCGTCTACGGACCGCACTGTCGGGACCTCACTCAGGTCCCGACAGTGTTTTCAGGCAAAATCCATGAGTAAAATGTCGAAATACAGGGAAATTACGTATGACGTTGAAGAGTATCTCCCTCCTATCTTAGAAATTATGTTTACTTAGATCCTAACCTAAACAACTCTCATCAAATTCACAATTTTAAGGGAGTCCCAATAATGATGGTAGCAAGACGATTTTCTCTCCAACTGAAATAGTAATCATTGTCGGAACTTAAAAACGTACTGATTCGAGCGCCATCTACGTAACTGATCCGAACTAGTTACAGTGTTGACAAACGTGAAACAAGTTTTGATTATTATACGTCAACCACTTGCCCCACGCATTCCTTTCGCGGCTCGCGCCGCGCTGTTCTTTTGTCTGTCCGGTCGAGCTGCGGCTTCTTTTGTTTCTTCCACACAATATCCCTGATGCTATGGGCCTTTACGTAAATTTATCATGAATGGATTCTCATGCGCGGATCTTTTAAAAATGTCTTTGACGGAGTTCACTGCCCTGGAACCTAAGACCTTGGATTCCTTTAACTGCGACTCATGCTGTAGCATCGACACCGCGTAGCAGCGTTTTCGAGCAAGTGGGGGTGTGCAATCGTCTATAACTCGAAGGGTGCAAAACCCACAATTTTTCAAAGAACCCGAAAAATTTCAAAAATAAAATTCCGTTACAATGAACATTCTACGTGCATGTCTACGAACGCAGAATTTTGATCTGGATTCGGTGCTTTAAGTGACAGCGCTGTTATTTTCATTTACTCCGGAAAAACTAACGCTTTCCTGGACAATATTAAGACTGTAAAACTGGACAGCATACTAAGTAATTCATGTGATATGCCTATGAATGCCTTATTTTATTCCATTCATTTCAGGGGGCCTAGACAGTAAAGAGTACGTATCGGCCTTAATTGAGAAGTTGATCAGTTTTTGGAAAAGAGGGGGGGAGGGATTGCCCCGCGATTCCTGTGTAACATCTATACCACCAATTTCACTGTAATTGCAAGATTTTTATAAACAATCTTTGGCATACGTTTTTTCAGTACCTAAGTGTCGAGACTGTGATTCTAGGTTCAGTGGCGTCATTGATGACGTTGGCATTTTCACCAACTCGGTAAACATACAGTAAACACACTCATTCCCGGGACCCTTTACTTTTCCTTGATTATCCTTTACTTTTTGCTGCTATGTAAATAGGCAATTTTACGAAATAGCTAAAAAAAGGTAAACGCTTAAAGCTGATAACGTCGATCCGTGTTATACGATTAGCTAGCTATCCATAGAGTGTTATGATGCCTGTTTTCAAATTTCTTTGCTGATTTCTCAACCTGATTTTTACCCCAAGTTTTACCCGTGACATCGGCCTTCTGACGTTAGGGCGTATCTCAATTTCCACGCAACCCTGCTTTACATGTAAACCCATGCTTTTTGGGTCTCATTCGTGAATCGAGATACGCCCTCACGCCAAAGGAGCAAACGATTAGTTTCAAACTAGAAAGTATTATGTACCTCCATTTTGTGCGTAATTCTTGTAAAATCTGATCGAAATCTTTAACGTGATTTGGTGTATGTATATTTTCTTCCATTCTATGAGATTACTTCCTTCTCAGGAGCTTCTCCAAGACTTATGCTTCATTCACAACTGAATCCTTTCCCTAAAATGCCGAACTGTATACCCATAGTGTGATCACGATACACTTATTTAATTTACGATTTTATATGATCATTATTTATACAGTTATTACTTTGATGTGCTGCACGTTTCTTTTTGATTGCACCGAATGATTTGCATGTCAATGAAAGCTCAGTCAAAATCCCAATTTTAATTCGATTTTTTCTTCTTCCCGTTATCGATTTTAACTATTCGCTTTCATCCAGCATTCTTGCAAACGATCATGATTCTGAACTTACATAAATAAATTTGTTTTTTAAGATTAGTACAATAAAAATATTTGCAAGAATTAAAGAAAGAAAGCTTGATTGAGTTTTCGCCTCCATTAATCAATATGTTTGCCTAAATATGAGGCAATGCCAATTGGCCATGTGTCTCCTACTTTCCACCTTAAGCATACTAAGGCCTTTGGAAGAAAACACTATATGAGACAGTGGACGGCACGACGACGCGACGCGACGTGGCGTTCCTCCTCCCTGATATGATCACAATAAATCATGTCGGAGGAATCGCAACTGAATGCAAGTCATTGAGGATAGGCGTTCAATGATGTACAGTCAGGCCAATGCCTTTGACTGGCCCCAGTCAGGTGACCTAAAATATTTGCGGATGGAACCAAGGAACTGGCTGTTCCTCAGGTAGTAAAAAGAAAAGGAAATCTTGAATAGGCGACGGGTCGCTGCGCTGCACCAAGCGCCGCGACGTCTTTTGGTCCCGGGCTTGTGTTATGCGCTTCGGGCTCACAATCCCTAATCATAGGAACCTAAGAAAGGGAATCATGACACGATTTTGCACGGCTCTCCTGAGAGTCCGGAAAAAATCCATGGTTTTTGAACCATGTTATCAGAGTTCCATGAAGTCAGTTTTTGCCCAAAGAGAATGGACTCCTGATCTTCTCTGATATAGCTTGGTTTTTTACCCACGAGGCCATAGTTCTCAATTTTTATTAGGTATAGCTTGATTCCATCATTTACACAGAAAATTCAGTTTTTTAGCTCTTTTCAAACGTAAGGCGGGAAAAATCTTAAGTGCAGCCATCTTGCAGGCTAGATTCACACTTCCCGGGGATTTACAGTCTTCTGAATACCGAGCTGAAATGGGCTTTTTGCCTATTCTGCTCTCTGAAATCCCAAAATTTTCTCCAGAAACCTCTTTTAGTAAGAAAGTCCTGTGAATAAAACCCCCCCTCCCCCCACCTATGAAGACGCCGAAGATCATGCCAAGACTCTTAGTCCTTAGTCCCAGAACCAGGCATCTCCTTCGATTCCAATTTACAGAAAAAATCACGTTCTGAACATCAACGGCGTACAGAAACTTTGCAAGCATGTGTTACCATTTTACCTCATTTCAATTCGTAGACACAAACTTAAAAAGAGAAACACCTGGAAGTTCTTTAAAAACTCAAACGCAACGTTGTTATTTACACCTACTCCAGGAAAACGAACCCTTTTCGGAAAATCCTGTGTTAGTATTTTGGACATCCAACAAAAC